ACCTCAGAAAGCCTCCGGGTCCTCGTCTGAAAGCCGGGAGGAATGGAACCCCCCGACGACCTCAGAAAGCCTCCGGGTCCTCGTCTGAAATCTGGGAGGAATGGAACCCCCCAACGACCTCAGAAAGCCTCCAGGTCCTCCTCTGAAAGCCGGGAGGAATGGAACCCCCTGACCAGCCTGTGTGGCTAGTGAGACTCAGACTGAGCCTACAACCTCTGCCTGTGGCTTTTGCTGCTCTCTGCAGGAGAGACATGGACCCCACATTGGCCTGCCCTCCCAAACCCCTCCGGGCCCTCCCTTCTCTGGCCCTCCTCACACCTCCTTTGGGGCTGACTGGTCTCCTCTGGGGGCTCAAGGAACCGGTGACTATCTTGCTCCCCTTGTCCCCAGTCCAGCACCTAGAAGACTCAGGACCCACCTGCTGACTTCAGTGAGAATACACAGAATCAGGGGTGACACTCCAATGTGACTGAGAGCAAAAAGCTGATAAAGCACAAGACATTCTGAAAAGAAATGGGGTGACCAATGAAACCTGCTCCTATGTTGTGTGTTTTTATGTCATGAAACTCATGATATTCTTTATCTGGTGTTATCTTACTGCGCCACGTATTTGATATGTGTGTGTTAGTCATTTAGTTAGATGCGTTCTGCAACCCACCTTAGTCCTAGAGACACCAGGTCACAACGGGCTGTTCCCAAGGTGACCTGCACCTGCTCGCCCCGACTCCCCGCCACCCCCACCCTGTTTCCATCATGGTGCCTATCACCTCCAGTCTGACTTTCCTTGTGCTCACTGCTGAGTGTGTGTCTTCCCATCCCAATGTGAGCTCATTGCGGGGTGCGGTGGGCAGGGACCTGAGAGACTGTCTTTCACCCACACCACTGCGTGCCCAGGGCTGGGGCAGTGGCTGGTGAGTGGCACAGCGCATGTTCAGGGGTTCAGGCTGGCAAGCAGGAGCGCAGGGATGAATACCAGGTCCATTCAACACCACCCCACCCCCCAACCCCTAGAAGTGGATGTCGCCACGACCCCTCTGCATCTTCAGGTATACTTGATTTTCAAAATGGTTCATTTTGGCCCTCCCTGGTGGCGCAGCGGGTTAAAGCACAGCACTGAGAGGCTAAAGCCACTTCTGCATGAGTTCGATTCCCACCTACCCCGGAGGTGACCACACGGCCCGGCAGACCTCTCCTGACCCGCCCGCTGCTCCCCTCAGCAGTGTACTTCATCAGTCAGCCTGTTCT